AGGCTGGGGGAAGCCGTGCGGGGTTGGTGGTGGAGACCTGTCCCTGCCAACAGGGTTTTTAGGGAGTAATGTGGGCAGCGAAGGGTGCTCACAAGTGGGTCCTTCGGGTAGACCATCAGCGTCTCACAGCAAGCTTCGTGGACCAGCTTGAGGTGAAAACCAGCTGAGGCCAAGCCAGGCTGAGGGTTTCGGTGCTGTTCAGCTGCCGCATATGTTCGTTTCCGCGTGGGCAGCGAAGGGTGCTCACAAGTGGGCCCTTTGGGTAGACCATCAGCGTCTCACAGCAAGCTTCGTGGACCAGCTTGAGGTGAAAACCAGCTGAGGCCAAGCCAGGCTGAGGGTTTCGGTGCTGTTCAGCTGCCGCATATGTTCGTTTCAGCTCGATAACGAATCGTCCATCACCGACACCATCTTCCAGTTCACCACCGAGGAGCTCTCCCTGCTGCCCCTGCGGGACCTGGCCGTGTTTCACAATGGCGATGCCTCGCACCAGTTTGGGTTCACAGTCGGACCGGTTTGCTTCAGCTGAAACCAATGACACCCAAAATGAACCGGCCCTCTCGCTCCCCAGCCGAAAACTGCTTTCCTGCCGGGGAGGCGTGCAGAGGGCAAGGGAGCGGTGCTGCTCCCAGCCCGCTTTTCGGAGCTGCCGTTCCTATTTGTGCGATACGTGGTTATAGCTGCATTATGCCATGGACTCCACTTCCTTCTGAAGTAGAAGAATATTGTTTACAAAAGTTGTTTCTCTATAAATTGTATATATATATATATGTACGTATACGAAAAGGTACTAATTTAATGACGGACCAGGGAGGACCATACGGTTACCACCACCAGGAACAGCTTGGAAAAGAAAAAAAAAGGCGAGGGGAAGGGGGAATACTGCCAGCTTGGGCAAACCGGGGGGGCGAAAGGGGCTTTCCTTTGCCTTGCAAGATTGCATGGATATGCTGCCAGCATTGTTATTTAATACTTTACTTTTGTTGTTTCCAGATGTTTCTCACTTGCCACGCTACTGTGGGGCAGCGGGGCATCATGCTAGTGTGGGTGAGCCCCAAGTGTGTGGTCCGTCCCCCCCCAGGAATCCCAAACCTTCTTGGCTGGCTTCGTGCTGCAGTGCCAGCTTTCTCAGCACCTCTCCCTGCCTGGGTGCTAATGTGGGGCTTGCTTTGCGCTCCTAAGGCCGCGTAGCCCTTTGCCTGCAGAAGGCACGCGCAGGTCGTAGGGGGTTGTGTCCAGGGGCCGACGCTGGGGCTCAGCATCAAGGCCAGTACCGCGGAGCAGATGCACACCCTGCATCCTGGCATAGTTACCAGCTCGGCCGTGTCCTTCCCAGGGCCAGGGCTGCACTGTGAACAGCCTTGCAGAGGGGCACAGGCCCCAGAGCGCAGTGTAAGCTATGCTGAGCTGCAGCTCCGGAGCAGTCTGCCAGCTCTTCCCTGGCTCTAGCCTGTTTTCTTGGGGGAGAGGAAAAGCCCTGCAGCTCTTCAGTGCAACGCCGTCTCTGCGGGCAAGGGCGCTGGGTAGCACTCGTAGAGCAGCAACTTCTGTGCATGGGCTGAGGACTCCCCTAGGTGTTTGATTTGCGTTTGGATCCTACACTGGTCACTGAGCGGGACATGTTTTTGTAAAGCTTTTGCCAGCGCCCGCCCTGCAGGGCACAGGCTTGCTGCCAGCCTTGCCGCTCTGGGCCCTTTCCGCACCCGAAAGCACCGGGGCTGCCGCAGGACTCCCCCACAG